GGAGGGAGGGAGGGAAAGAAGGAAGGAAGGAAGAGGGAAGGGAAGGAGGAAAAAGGGAAGGGAGGGAGGAGGGGAGGGAGGGAGGGAGGGAAAGAGGAAGGAAGAAGTTAAATACTGGACTCATCACAGTGAGAAGCTGCAGTCGGTGGGTGAGGTAGGAGCTGCTTCCTTATTATCAAGATGCAGAAATGGGAGATGTAAAAATAAATGGTCTGCGCTGCTGTTCTCTGGAGCTAAATTTAAGGCTAATCCAAATAAACACAATATGGGGGCTGTGCTATAAAAGACAATGTGACCACAAGCGAAGCAATGCAGAAGCAGAGGCCACAGGGAAGGGGCTTCTCGCTCTCCCCATAGGAGGTCAGGATCAGTCCAGGGGGGGGGGAAACATCTCACATGCGGAAAGGGATGAAGGCTTGATGGACGGTTGCCGGAACTCGGGATGCCTAGGCTAATACAATCCAGGATAATAATGCAATCTACCCAATACAATCCATGGTTGTATAAACAGAGGCATAGAATCAAAATCAGGTGAAGGATTAGTACTGCTTAGTAAAGCCTTAGAAAGGCCACACCTGCAATTCTGCATCCAGTTTTGGTCACCACACTATAAAAAAAGAGGTTGAGACTCTAGAAAAAGTGCAGAGAAAAGCAACCAGGATGATGAGGGGACTGGAGGCTAAGAAATACGATGTACGGTTGCAGGAACTGGGCCTGGCTGGTCTAGTGAAGAGAAGGACCAGGGGAGACAGGAGAGCATCTTCCAGTATTTGAGGGGCTGCCCCAGAGAGGAGGAAGGGGGTCAAGCTATTCTCCAAAGCACCCGAAGGCCGGACAAGAAAGAATAGATGGAAACTGATCAAGGAGAGATTCAACCTGGAAATAAGGAGGAATTTTCTGACAGTGAGAACAATCAACCAGTGGAACAGAAGTTGCCTTCAGAAGTTGTGGGAGCTTCACCACTGGAAGCTTTCAAGGAGAGACTGGACAACCATCTGTCAGAAATGGTGTAGGGTCTCCTGCTTGGGCGGGGGTAGGACTAGATGACCTCCAAGGTCCCTTCCAACTCTGTTAATCTGTTAAGTACTCAGCATGGCTGGTCTAGGGAAGAGAAGGACCAGGGGAGACAGGATAGCAGTCTTCTAGTATTTGAGGAGTTGCCAGAAAGAAGAGGGGGGCCACCTATTCTCCAAGGCACCTGAAGGCAGCACAAGAAGCAACAGATGGAAACTGATCAGGGAGAGAAGCCACCTGGAACTAAGGAGAAATTTCCGGACAGGGAGAAATGTTTGCAATAATTGGGTATGTCTTGTCTAAAGAAAAGGAGAATTAGGGGCAACATGATAGCACTGTTCCAGTATTTGAGGGGCTGCTCCAAAGCAGAGGGGCTCAATTTATTTTCCAAAGCACCAGGACAAGAAACAATGGATGGAAACTAATTAAAGAGAGAAGCAACCTGGAACTGAGGAGAAAGTTCCTAACAGGGAGGACAATTAACCAGCGGAACAGCTTGCCACCAGAAGTCGTGGGTGCTCCATCTTCCTCCCAAAATTGGGTGCAGATCAACAGTCAAGAGGTGGAAACGAAAGGACTCAGGTGGGACCGGAAGAAGAATTGAGTGACTCCGAAAGCCATCAAGCAAGGAGATGGCTGCTATTAGTTCAGTTTTAATTCCTCACGGTGAGCTGAGTCAAGAGAAAATCCCACGCCCCAAATATTTGAGAATTAGAATCATATAAGGTTGGAAGGGACCTTGGAGGTCTTCTAGTCCAACCCCCTACTCAGGCAGGATTCCCTAGACCATTTCAGACAAGGGGTTGTCCAGTCCCTTCTTAAAAGGCAAAGAGGCAAAGAAATACAAGTAGTCCTTGAGTTACCACCACAACTGAACCCAAAATCTACATTGCTAAGTGAAACATTCATTAAGTGAGTTTTGCCCCATTTTAAGACCTTTCTTGCCACTGTTGTTAAGTGAGTCATTGCATTTGTTAAGTTAGTAACAGGTTGTTAAGTGAATCTGATTCCCCCCATTGTCTTTCTTGTCAGGAGATCACAAAAGAGAATCACGTGACCCTGGGACACTGCAACCGTCGTAAGTACATGCCAGTTGCCAAGCCTCTGAATTTTGATCACGTGACCACGAGATGCTGCAGAGTGGTGTGGTGGCCCCGAGGTGGAGCTTTCGCCTCACAATCAGGAGGTTGTGAGTTCGATCCTAGGTAGAGGCAGATATTTCTCTCTCTGGGTGCGATGAGAATTTATCTGCTGAACAAAACTCCGCATTGGTGACAGGAAAGGCATCCAGCCAGTAAACGCTCTGCTAGTTCCATTCAGTTGCCCAGAACTCCACCCCACCAGGGATTATGGGGTCGTTAAAAGGAGATGACCACGGGGGATGCTGCAACCGTCGTAAATGAAAAAAAACAGCCCTAAGTCGCTATTTTCAGTACTGTTGTAGCTTTGAATGGTCGCTAAGTGAATGTTGTAAGTCGGGGACTATCTGCAAATATAGGCCAGTAAGATCAGGCGTTTCCTTAGAACCCTCTGCCTTTCTTAGGGTGATTTATTTCAGTTTTGTTCCTTTGCCCAAAGCAAGCAAAGATGGGTCTAAATTTACTTGCCCAGCCACACCAATCTTGCAAACTGTCAAGGACTTCCGTTCCCAGGCAGAAATTCTTTCCCGGATGGAAAATGCTGCCTGGCCAGCCTGCTCCCCGTCCTCCAAGGGGAGGGAGGGTGTTTCGGGTGGGGCACAGCAGAGGAAAACTACTCCTGCCTCGTACCTGGACATAAACTCAGGACCCAAAAAGATCTTGGCAGACTTGAACAAAGGGCCACACTCAAAGTTTGGAGAAAATGAGAAACACATGAAGCTCACAGTTGACATGAGGGATCCTGGCTGGTCTCTGAGCTTCCTTCTTCTCCTGCAGGCATTTCATGACCCAAACTAGGTAACATCATCAATGCTAGAAGAGAATAGGGGTTACGAGGAGGAGGAGGAGGAGGAGGAGGAGGAGGAGGAAGGAGGAAGAAGAAGAAGAAGAGAAAGAAAGAAAGAAAGAAAAAGAAAGAAAGAAAGAAAGAAAGAAAAGAAAGAAAGAAAGAAAGAAAGAAAGAAAAAGAAACCTAGGTAACACCATCAATTCTAGAAAAGAATAGTGGTTACAAAGAGGAGGAGGAGGAGAATAGGAGGACTGTGGGTTCCTTGGTGCTCTCACTGTTAGGAAGTTTCTCCTTAGTTCTCGGTTGCTTCTCTCCTTGATTAATTTCCATCCATTGATTCTTGTCCTGCCTTCTGGTGCTTTGGGGAATAGCTTGACCCCCCCTTCTTTGTGGCAGCCCCTCGAATGTTGGAAGATTGTTATCATGATTACTTGAATATGAGCCAGCCGTATACAGCAGCATCCAAAACAGCTAATACAATGCTGGGTTATATAAACAGAGGCATACAATCAAAATCACGTGAAGTATTAGTGCTGCTTTATAAAGCCTGTAGTAAGGCCACACCTGGAATACTCTGGATCCAGTTTTGATCACCATACTACAAAAAGGAGGTTGAGACTTTGGAAAAAATGCAGAGAAGAGCAACTAAGATGATCAAAGGCCTGGAGACTAAAACATATGAAGGACAGCTGCAGGATTTGGGTGTGGCCAGTCTAGAGAAAAAAAGGACTGGGGTGGACATGGTAGCAGTCTTCCAGTATTTGAGGGGACGCTCCAAAGAAGGGGGTCAACTTATTCTTCAAAGCCCCAGAAGGCAGGAGAAGAAGCAACGGATGGAAATGCATCAAGGAGAGAAGCAACCTAGAATTAAGGAGAAATTTCCTAACAGTGAGGACAATTAGCCAGTGGAACAGAAGTTGCCACCAGAAGTTGTGGGTGCTCCAGCACTGGAGGTTTTTAAGAAGAGACTGGACAGCCATTTGTCTCAAATGTTATATGTCTCCTGCTTGAGGAGAGGGTTGGACTAGAAGTCCTCCATGATTCTATTCTATTCTATTCTATTCTATTCTATTCTATTCTATTCTATTCTATTCTATTCTATTCTATTCTATTCTATTCTATTTGTTCTGTTCTGTTCTGTTCTGCATTCTATTCTATTCCCATTCCATTCTCCCTCCAGTCCTTCTTTTCTCTAGACTGGACCTATCCTATTGCTGCAACCGTTCTTCATCTTTTAGACTTTCCAAAATCTTAACATCCTTTTTGTATCGTGGCAACCAAAACTGTACGCAGTCTTCCCGGGGTGTCTGGAAAGGAAGGAGCGGGAAGGGCTCTTTGCTCTTAAAACTGGGAGCAGGTCGACAGTCAAGAGGTGGACATGAAAGGACTCAGGTGGGACGTGAAGAAGAATTTAGTGATTTCAGAAGTCACCAAGTAAGGAGACAGTCAGGACAGAGACAGGGGGGGGTCTTCTTCACCGTTTGCTTTCCAAAGGGTGGTGGGTGGAAGCAGGCCACCGGTTGCAAAGGGTTCCCAGGCTGAACAGGGGCTGGACTAGATGGCCCTCAGGGTTCCCTCCAACTCATTCATTCTTAATCTGACTCCCTTCTGGTGTGAGGCTTCCCCTGTCACGTCCTCCAGAAGAATCTCCTCCATTTCTTTCTATTGCAAACCTCTTGACCCCCTAAAAAGCAGAATTTAAATGCTGCTATTATTTCAGTTTTAATTCCTCACGGTGAAGAGAAAATCACCCACTCTTCAAATATTTGAGAATTAGAATCCTATAAGGCTGGAAGGGGCCTTGGAAGTCTTCTCCTCCTTTTTGGGGAGGATTTTCATCACTCCATCCTCTAAGCGAGTGGGAAAGAAACCCCAAACTGCAGGCTGAACGGAAGAGGGGAGCCCAGATATTTATCCTTTTCAAAACTTTTCAAAACTTTCCTGCCCTTCGCTGAAGCGATTGTGGCTTTGCAGCAATCCAAGGAAACTCATTTTTGATTCCCCAAGGCAAAAAAAAAACAGAGACGAGAGAACAAAGTTGGTAGCTGCCCACTCACCTTTGCCAGGAGTCACAGATCCCTTGGAACAAATTCCCCAAGTGGCCTTCCCTTTCTGAGTAGATCTCCCCAACCGGATCCTCTGAGTTCTCTTTTTTCTCTCTGGTCTTTTATAGTCTCGGATGGAGCCTCCAAAGGCTGCCTCTGCCCCCTCTTACATCATGTCTGCAGTTTTTTCACCGGCTCTGCTCTTACATGCCTTTCTCCCTCCCCTCTAAACGGGCAGGCTGCTCCTGCTGCAGCTGCTGCTTATCGCTCTAACCATGATCAGGGGAGAAATCAGGATCTGATGATGGTGAAAGAGGCTCGTCAGAAGTCCATCCATCCATCCATCCATCAATTTATTTATTTATTTATTTATTGGTTCGATTTATATGCCGCCCTTCTCCGGAGACTCAGGGCGGCTTACAGTGCGTTAAGCAATAGCCTTCATACTTTTGTATATTTTATACAAAGTCAGCTTATTGCCCCACAAACCGGGTCCTCATTTTACCCACCTTAGAAAGGATGGAAGGCTGAGTCAACCTTGAGCCTGGCGAGATTCGAACTTGCAGTAATTGCAGGCAGCTGGTGTTACTTAACAGCACTTTAATCTGCTGCGCCACCAAGGCTCCATCAATGGATGGAAACTAATCAAGGAGGAGAAGCAACCTAAAATTAAGGAGAAATTTCCTGGCAGTGACAACAATTAACCAGTGGAACAGAAGTTGCCTCCAGAAGTTGTGGCTGCTTCATCACTGGAGGCTTTTAAGAAGAGACTGGATAATATTCTGTCTGAAAATAGTATAGGTCCTCCTGCTTGAGAAGGGGGTTAGACTAGAAGACCTCCGAGGTCCCTTCCAATTCTGTTATTCTGTTCAATCTCCATCTTCCAAACTTATATTGTATATAAATAGAGAGCAAACCCCACTCCCTTCTAGCACTGATGATGTTTCCTAGTTGGGTCATGAAATGTCTGCAAGAAAACAAGAAAATGGTACTACATTCACATAGAAGTAAGCAGTGGGGTAATACAAGCTCATGTCTTGGGCCCAGGGCTCCTCCTCAATATCTCCATAAATGATTTAGATGAGGGAGTAGAAGGGGAACTCGTCCAATTTGCAGATGACTCTAAGCTGGCAGGAACAGCCAACAGCCCAGAAGACAAGCTCAGGATCCAAAAAGATCTCGACAGACTTGAACAATGGGCCCCACCCAACAACCAACGAAAATGAATGTGGAGAAAAGCAAAGTTTTACATTTAGGTAGGAAAAACCATATGGTATGAGTACGAATTAGGTGAAACCTGGCTCAAAAACAGGAACTGGGAGAGGGACCTCGGAGTCCTAGTGGACGATCCCTTGAACGTGAGCCAGCCGTGTGCGGCAGCAGCCAAATAAGTTGATACGATCCTTGGTTGTATAAACAGGGACATTGAATCAAACTCACGTGAAGGACTAGTACCGCTTTAAAAAGCCTTAGTAAGGCCACACCTCGAATCCTGCATCCGGTTTTGGTCACCACATTCCAAAAAAGATGTTGAGGCTTTGGAAAAAGTTGTTTTTAAGAAGGGTCTTGACAGGGCTGTCAAACTTGCAGCATCACGGTGGTGTCATGTGACATATCGGGATTTCCCCCCTCTTCCCTAAACTGGGCGGGGGCGTGGCCAGCTCGTGACACATCCAGCCCACAGGCCGCGAGTTTGACAGTCCTGGTCTAGACAATGACTTCTCTGCAATGGTCTAGGTTCTCCTGGTTGAGCAAGGGGCTGGTCTAGAAGACCTCCACGGTCCCTTCCAGCTCATCCATTCTATATATAAACAGCCCAGTTCAGAGAGCATCAGTGACCCAAGCAATGAATAAGGAGAGAAGCAACCTGCAATTCAGGAGAAACTTCCTAATGGTGGGGACAATCAACCAGTGGAACAGCTTGCCACAAGAAGTTGTGGGTGCTTCATCCCTGGAGGTTTTTAAGAAGACAGTCTTAAAGTGGACAGTCACTTGTCTGTAATGGTATAGGGTCTCCTGCTTGAGCAGGGGGTTGGAATAGAAGACCTCCAAGGGGCCTTCCAGCTCTATTTATTCATTTATTTATTGGTTTGATTTATATGCCGCCCTTCTCCGGAGACTAGGGGGCTTACAATGCGTTAAGCAATAGCCTTCATACTTTTGTATATACCTGCTTAGTAGGGCTTTCGCCCCCCCCCCAAAGCGGTGTTCTTTTTTTTATACAAAGTCAGCTTATTGCCCCCACAATCCGGGTCCTCATTTTACCTACCTTGGAAGGATAGAAGGCTTGAGCCTGGTGAGATTCGAACTTGCAGTAATTGCAGGCAGCTGGTGCTACTTAACAGCACTTTAGTCCGCTGCTCCACCAAGGCTCCTTGGATTGATTCTGATTGATTGATTGATTGATTGATTGATTGATTGATTGATTAAGTCCCCAGGCTGGCTTAGAGCAAGGACAGTTGGGAAGCAGTTGGGAAGCCACAAGCTCATGAAAGTCAAAGGTGGACTCTGAAGAGTGAAATGACGGGTATTTTTTATTTATTTTTATATTTTATATTTATTTTATATTTTTATATTAAGAAATGAGAGTCTTGATGACTCCAAGCGGCTTAAAGCAATGAAACCCCAATACCAGTAGTCCTCGACATATGACCATAATCGAACCCCAGATTTCTGATGCTCTGGGGGGCCTGAAGAGCATCGAGGAACTGCAGCTGGCGCAGAAGGTGGTTGCACGAGCACATCTGGGCACGCCTGGGGTCACGCATGTAACACCCCCACTATGTGAGTGGCGTTGGGCGCCAGGGGGATTCTGGGGGTGTCGGTCATTACCTTTAAAGGTAATCCTTTCAAGTGCAGGGAAAGCGCCCCAGAGGGAGACCACAGCTGTGATATAAGGATATCTGCAAGAGGGACCTAAAGGCCCTGGGAATGGACATTAACAACTGGGAAACCTTGACCTCTGATCGTTCAGCTTGGAGGCTAAAGACGCAGCATGGCCTCCTCCAATTCGAAGAGACACTTGTTTGGCAGGCTGAGGCAAAAAGGCAGTCCTGGAACCAGCAAAATCTTTGGGGTGGGCAGGGGACAGAATATATCTGCCCTCCGTGTGGAAGGGATTGATGGTCACTCTCGAATCGGCCTTTTTAGTCACACCAGATGCTGTTTTAGGACCTCTTTCCAGAGCACGATACCATCGTCTCTGGAGACGGAAGGATGCCAATGCAATCAATCCTCTACCTACAACCAGAACTGAGCTCAAAATTTCTGTTGTTGAGTGAGACAGCTATTACATGAGTTTTGCCCCACTTTATGACTTTCCTTGCTTGCCACGGTTGTTAAGTGAACCTGCCACTGGTTAACAGGTTTCAGTTAGCAACAGAGTCGTTCAGTGAATCTGGCCTTGCTTGTCAGAAGGTTTGCAAAGGCGATCACGGGTCCCTGGGACACGGCAGCCGTCATAAGTGTGAGTCAGTTTCCAAGCATCATGTGACCCTGGGGATGCTGCAATGGACAAGTTAGGGTTTCTTGGAAACGTTTCATTACCAAACCAGATAACATCATCAATTGACTGCAAGAAAACCACCAAAGAGCACTAAAGACCCCACAATCCTTTTCCATCTCCTCCTCCTCCTCCTCCTCTTCTCCTTCTTCTTTTTCTTTTCCTCCTCCTCCTCCTCTCCTTCTTCTTTTTCCCTTCCTCTTCTTTTTCTTCTTCTTCTTCTCCTCCTCCTCCTCTTCTCCTTCTCCTTTTTCTTTTCCTCCTCCTCCTCCTCTCCTTCTTCTTTTCCTTTTCTTCCTCCTCCTCCTCTTCTTCTTCTTTTTCTCTTCCTCTTCTTTTTTCTTCTTCTTCTCCTCCTCCTCCTCTTCTCCTTCTCCTTTTTCTTTTCCTCCTCCTCCTCCTCTCCTTCTTCTTTTCCTTTTTCTTCTCCTCCTCCTCTTCTTCTTCTTTTTCTCTTCCTCTTCTTTTTCTTCTTCTTCTCCTCCTCCTCTTCTCCTTCTCCTTTTTCTTTTCCTCCTCCTCCTCCTCTCCTTCTTCTTTTCCTTTTCTTCCTCCTCCTCCTCTTCTTCTTCTTTTTCTCTTCCTCTTCTTTTTCTTCTTCTTCTCCTCCTCCTCCTCTTCTTCTCCTTCTCCTTTTTCTTTTCCTCCTCCTCCTCCTCTCCTTCTTCTTTTCCTTTTCTTCCTCCTCCTCCTCTTCTTCTTCTTTTTCTCTTCCTCTTCTTTTTCTTCTTCTCCTCCTCCTCCTCCTCTTCTCCTTCTCCTTTTTCTTTTCCTCCTCCTCCTCCTCTCCTTCTTCTTTTCCTTTTCTTCCTCCTCCTCTTCTTCTTCTTTTTCTCTTCCTCTTCTTTTTCTTCTTCTTCTCCTCCTCTTCTCCTTCTTTTTCTTTTCCTCCTCCTCCTCTCCTTCTTTTTTTCCTTTTCTTCCTCCTCCTCCTCTTCTTCTTCTTTTTCTCTTCCTCTTCTTTTTCTTCTTCTTCTCCTCCTCCTCCTCCTCTTCTTCTTCTTCTCCTTTTTCTTTTCCTCCTCCTCCTCCTCTCCTTCTTCTTTTCCTTTTCTTCCTCCTCCTCTTCTTCTTCTTCTTTTTCCCTTCCTCTTTTTCTTCTTCTCCTCCTCTTCTCCTTCTTTTTCTTTTCCTCCTCCTCTCCTTCTTTTTTTCCTTTTCTTCCTCCTCCTCTTCTTCTTCTCCTTTTTCTCTTCCTCTTCTTTTTCTTCTCCTCCTCCTTTCTACAAACCCCACTCCCTTCCAGCACTGATGTTGTTATCTAGTGAGGTAATGAGATGTCTGCCAGAAAACAACCATGCTCAGAGAGCACCGAGGACTCCAAAGTCCATCCCTGAGCTACCAGTCTTCTCTTCTGCTGGTTCATCATCTCCATTTTCTCTTCATTATGTAAACTCCCGTTGCAAGTTTGACTGGTTCTCGTGGCCCATTAATCTCTCCCGGTTTAATACGGGCAGGCTTCGGCTCTGGTCGTCTCCTTCATCAGCAGGGCTGAGAAATATCAGGCCGTATCTGCAAAGAAGAATGAAACGTAGATTTCGCAGCTCCCGGGGGGGCCCCTGACTCATGCAAGTGGCAGCTGGATGTTTTGCAAAGGTACCGTCTCATGTATGAGTTGGAGGA